AGAGAGAGAAACATTGATGTGAGAGAGACACATCGACTAGTCGCCAACCACACAACCCCAACTGGGGCTGCGGATAAACTGCAACTGAGGTATGTGCCCTTATCGGGAACTGAACCTGGGCCTTTCTGGTCCGCAGGCTGATGCTCTAACCGCTGAGCCAAACCAGTGAGGGCGCTATTTAAGATTTTTGCTTTTAGCCCTGGCTGGTTTGGCTCACTGGTTAGAGCATTAGTCTGCGGACCAAACGGGGTTTGATTCCTGGTCAAGGGCCCATACCTGGGTTGCAGGTTCAATCTCTGGCTCTGGTCACGGTTGTGCAGGAGGCAACCAATCGATGTGTCTCTCACATTGATGTTTCTCTCTCTCTCTCTCCCCTCCCCCCCTTCCACTCTGTCTGAAAATCAGTGGAAAAATATCCTTGGGTGAGGATTAACAACAACAACAACAACAAAAAGTAAAGATAGATACAACAAACTCCAGACCTCCTAAAAATTTTACTGCTGCCAAACCTGTACATTTCTTCATTTTACTGGACTCTAAAGAGGGATCCCTCCTCTTGTCCAAATGAATCATTTCCCATTATTGCTGTCTCAATTTATTTCTTCTCAGTTATCTCCTCTTCAGCTTCTAGGCCTCTTTTATTCAGTAAATTAAACACTTATCCCATATTAGGCCCTGGAAGAACAAAGGTGAAAGGGTAGATAAAATTGCTCTCATGGGGCTTACAGCAGTGTATTAGACTTGCTTAGTGTACTGCACCCTTGGAAGATTCTACTTTTTTTTTTATTAATCCTCACCAGAGGATATTTTTTCCATTGTTTTTTTTTTTTTGAGAGTGGAGTGGAAGGAGGTGGGGGCGGGAGGTGGGTAGAGAATGAAACATCCATGTGATGTGAGAGAGACACATCGTTTGGTTGCCTCCTGCACACACCTGGACTGGAGAGCAAACCTGCAACGCAGGTACATGCCCTTAACTGGGAATCAAACCTGCGATCCTTTGGTGATCCTCTGGTGTGTGGGCTGTCACTCTGACCACTGAGGCAAACCGACCAGGGCGGCAGATTCTACTTTGATGCTTTGTATATCGCCTCTTGCAAGTACAGTTAGTTTGCCATCTCTCTTCCTCACTTGCCTTGGCATTTTCTTCACCATTGTACCAAAACCATATTGGCAGTGGTCACTGGTGACCTCTTCATTGCAGAATTCAAATGGATATTTGATTCATGCAGTAATTTTAACTTCTTGAAGATATAAAGGGTTTTTCTTCCATATTAAATGTTCATGTCGTTCAACATTGCTATTTTTTGAGTTCATGTGACTAGTAGGAAAAGTTAGGAAGAATGATGGTAAAATATGCTTCAGGAGGGCTGTAAATTGTGTCTCTTTACATATGTCTTGTGCTTTGGAGACTGCATTGTCTACAGCTGGATGCTATGTGGTTTGTTTTCATAATTAAAAGTTTTGTCTCTTCCAGCCTAGCCTCTAGCCTCTGTTTTGCTAGTTTAGGATTGTGAAGACAACAGTTATTTTATAATTTAGTACCTATTTAGGTTTGTAGATTCTGTATGTCAAGAAATAAGCAGTTAGGACTCACTATATAGTACATCTCATTGATCTGTATAGAACCTTTCTAAGTTTTATTTCTCTCTGGACCGCAGGCTGACGCTCTAACCACTGAGGAAACTGTCCAGGGCGCAAGTTTTATTTCTGATTCTTAAAATGGGGATTATACCAAGTTTTTTTTTTTTAATCCTCACCAAAGGACATTTTTGCATTTATCTTCAGATAGAATGGGAGAAAGAGAGAGAGAGAGAGAAACATCGATGTGAGAGAGATACATTGACTGGTTGCCACCCACATGACCCCAACTAGGGCCGGGGACAAACTGCAACCGAGGTACGTGCCCTTAGCGGGAACTGAACCCGGGACTCTGGTCCGCAGGCTGACTCTCTAACCGCTGAGCCCAACCGGCCAGGGCTATACTGTTTTATAGAGTATTGTTCAGGATTACAGGGATTCATGTATATAAAATATTAATCTTGGTGATCAGCACATAGTACATTTGAATAAAAAGTTGTTTTCCAAAAAGTTCTGTATGTCTACAGTAATTCCCTACCTGTTTTAACTTCTTCCTGGATGTCATTCTCCAGAGGCAATCATTTTCAAGAAACTGTTAGGTATTTCTTCTGTTATTTATGTTTTCCCTATCTCCCTTTTTTCTCAGTTTATATTTATACTTTCTTTTCTATCCTTCCAGTATTTTATAATAATTTGTGGCTAGATCAGTATGATAATCATGTAAATGTTACAGTTGAGCCATGTTGTCCTTTTTTTTGGACTTAACTTTTTTTAACAGTTGCTTAGATTTCTATGTACCCATCACTGATTAACATCTAGGCTTTATTTCATATGTGAAAATTAACTTTGTAGGGTGGTCAGAAACATTTTCTTGGAGGCATCTCTTTGCTAGCCCTCTCTTATCCTCCTGGTCTGATTAGATTTGGTTGTGCTGAGGCCTGCTGCACAGCTATCATCTTGATCTTTTTTCGCTGTCATTTGTGAGAGCCTCCTCTCCTGTGTTGGACCCCCTTGTTATTCTCCATTAATCCGTTTTCTGTCCCTATAGATTTGTCTTTTACAGAATGGCATAAAAATGGAATCATACAGTATGCAGCCTTTTGAGTCTGGCTTCTTTTTATTTATTTCTTTATTGATTTTTAGAGAGAGAGGAAGGGAGCGGGAGCGGGAGCGGGAGACAGAGATAGAAACATCGATGAGAGGGAACATCGATTGGCTGCCTCCTGCATGCCCTCATCTGGAGATTGGGCCCAGAACCTGGGCATGTGCCCTGACCAGAAATCAAACCGGCGACTTCTTGGTGCATGGGGCGACGCTCAACTGCTGAGCCACACCAGCCGGGCGAGTCTGGCTTCTTTTACTAAGCATAATATATTTGAGAATTATCCATGTTATGTGCATCAGTGCTTGATTTCTTTTTTTGCTGAATAATATTCAGTTGTATGGCTGTGCTACAGATTACTCACTCTTTGAAGGACACTTGACTTATTTCCACTTTTGGGGGACTGTGAATAAAACTTAGACAGTTTTTTGAGAAAAGTGGCCCGTGGCTATTCCAAGTTACAAGGGAGACTGAGAAATTGTATTTAGCTTTTTGCCTTCTTTACCAGAGGAGGACAGAAAAATAGTATGTTGTGAATGGATTTTGGTAGTTAATTCATGGTGTCAATTGCCAGCGGCTGCCTCTTGGTTTGCTCTCTTGTTTTTGTTTTGTTTGTTCCATGAACTTCCTGAATTTGAGATATTGTATATGTGAACTAAACTTGTTTCTGTAATCGCATTGATTAGTATTTTGCTGAGTGTAGAATTCTAGGTTGGAAATTAAACTAAGGTGTTGCTGCACTGTTTTTTTAAAATTGTAAAATTTATATTAAACAATAATTGTCCATTTTCCCCTACTCCCAGTCCCTGGTAACCACCTTTCAACTTTGAATTTGATTATTTTAGATAACTCATATAAGTAGTAATACAGTATTTGTCCTTTTTTGACTGGCTTATTTCACTTAGCATAATGTCCTTAAGGTTCATCCATGTTGTAGCATGTGTCAGAATTTCCAGCCTTTTTAAGGTTGAATAATAAGTAGTTCATTGTATGCTTATCCATTCATCTGTCTATAGAAACTGGGTGGCTTCCACTTTTTAGCTATTGTGAATAATGCTGCTATGAACATGGGCATGCAAATAATCTCTTCAAGACCCTGCTTTCATCTCACTTATATGTGGAATCTAATGAACAGAATAAAGTGATGGGATAAAAAGGTCCATAGATATGAATGCATAGAACAGAATGACAAATCTCAGAAGGGAGGGGACGGGAAGAGACTAACCAAAGAACATATATGCATAGCCTATGAGCACAGTCAAAATACTGTGGGGAAGGCCTGGGGTGGGGTGGAGGCTGGTTGGAGGCAGGTATAAAGTGAGGGGAAATGTGGGATGTGTAATACTGTCAACAATAACAAAACAGACCCTACTTTCAATTTTTTTTATATATATTATTAGAAGTAGAATTACTAGATCATATGGTAATTCTATTTTTAATTTTTTTGAGTAACTATTTTATTGTTTTCCATAGTTGGCCACACCATTTTCAATTCCTACCAGCAGTATAGAAGGATTCTGATTTATTTGCATCCTTGCCAAAACTTGTTATTTTCTATTTTTAATTTTTTATTACAGTAGCCATCCTAATGGTTGTGAAGTGGTATTTCATTATTATAATCATGTTTTTATGGCATATTATATTATTTTTTATTAAAACACACTTTTTTTCCTTTATTGATTTTAGAGAGGGAGCAAGAGATAGAAACGTCAATGAGAGAGAACATCGGTTGGCTGCCTCTTTCATGCCCCCCACTGGGGATTATGCCCACAACCAGGCATGTGTCTTGACGGGGAATCGAACCGGTGACCTCTTGGTGTATGAGTTGACGCTCAATCACTGAGCCACACCAGCTGGATGATGACATATTTAGTTATATGCTTGACACTTAAGTAGCTATTCAGTAAATATTTGTTGAATAAATAAAGTAAAAATATATGCACGATTGTTTTGTCTCTTTGGAAGATTTGTTGTTTATAAGTGGCTTTTGCCTTTAGGTATGGCTTGCTCCTGGACATCACATTTTGAATTGGATTATTGCCAGGTAAAATCTTGGCTGGACACAGTTTTTGTCTTTGCGTTCAAATACCAACTGCAAATGGGAAGAGCAAATAAAACCACGTGTAGTAGTAACTATATGTAGTATAGTGGTAAAATAATTGCTGGTTAAAATTCATGGTTTTTGAGATTTTTATTTAGAATTGCTATACTTAAAAACCTTAGACTTCTTTTTTATCTTCACTCGAGGACATTCTTTCATTTATCTTTAGACAGATTAGGATGGGGGGAGAGAGAGAAACATCAACGTGAGATAGACGCATCGACTGGTTGCCTCCCATGCGACCCTGGTATGTGCTCTTGGCCGGGTCTCATTGATCCGTGGGCCGACGCTCTAACCGCTGAGCCAAACCAGCCGGGGCTAAACCTTAGACTTTTAGATTGCATTAGTAAAATTGGCTTAAGAATTGCCAGGAAAATCTAAAATCCTGCAGGATTGTTTTCTTGAGAAATTGTATTTTAGAGAATCTTTGATTTATCTCATGTTTACTCCTTATCCCTGTATTTTATCCTTGCTTTTTACTATGATTTGCAGGTTTTGCTCACCATGCCTGCTTTTTTGCAGATTTTCTATTTTGTATACACGTTATTTTGTATATACTGTATATGATGACTTCGGTGAGCAGTGACCGTTCCCGAGGTGCTCGGGAAAAAACACAGATTTCAGCGGCACAGGCAACACAACTACAGAAACAAGTAGTACAGGTAAGTTTTTGTGGAACTCTTGTTTGCTTTGTTTAGAATTATGGAAATTAAGGGAACATATGTGTTTTAAATGTTGTCCTTTGTAGGAAACCTGAGAATTTTAATTCTTATTTTTTAAAAGTAGATAGTATTCCCCGATCGGGTGGCTCAGTTGGTTGGAGCATCGTCCTGTATACACCAAAAAAGGTTTCGAGTTTGATTCCCAGCCAGGACACATACCTAAGTTGGGGGTACAATCTTCGACTGAGGCATGCATGGGAGGCAACCAATCGATGTTTCTCTCTCACATTGAACTTTCTCTCTCTCTCTCTCTCTCCCTTCCCCTCTCTCTAAAATCAATAAAAAACCTAAAAACATATCGTCAGGTGAGGATAAAGAAAAAGTAGATCGTATATAATAGGAAAGAGGAAATAACACTCAGGTCCAGTTAGATGTTGTTCCTTAGCTTTTTAATCCTGAACTTTTTCCTGCTACCTATTAACATCTAAGCCATCTCCTTTTCTTTATTATTAATCTAGGTGTATGCCTGGGTTATAATATGAAAGTTGAAATATACAGAGAAATACTACTCTGAAATAGATATATGTCTGAATTATAAGAGACTTACAAAAAGCTGTCGTTTCTTTCAAGCATTGTTACCTGGACAGAGTGTTTTAATTTTAGAATGTCTTTTTTTTTTTTTATGAATTTTTTATTTATTTTTTGTTACAGATATTTTACCTTTTTACCCCATTGGCACCCCCCACCCCACCCCCCCTCCACCCTGTCCCCGGCTTAGTTGTCCATGTCCATTGGTCATGCATACATGCATATAAGTTCTGTGGTTTATCTCTTCCCACCCCCCCACCCCCCATCCCCTCTTCTGAGGGATGTCAGTCTGTGCCTTACTTCCATGTGTCTGGGTCTAGTGTATTCCTCAGACTGTTATGTTCATTATATTCCGTATATAAGTGAGATCATGTGGTATTTGTCTTTTTCTGCTTGGCTTCTTTCACTTAGGATAATACTTTCCAGGTCCCTCCATGTCGTCTCAAAGGATAAGAGATCTTTCTTTCTTACCGCTGCATAGTACTCCATTGTGTATATGTACCACAGCTTTTTGATCCATTCGTCTACTGGTGGACACTTGGGCTGTTTCCAGATCTTAGCTATTGTAAATAGTGCTGCTATGAACATGGGGGTACATATATTCTTCCTGATTGGTGTTTCAGGCTTCTTAGGGTATATTCCCAGCAGTGGGATCACTGGGTCAAATGGAAGTTCAATTTTTAATTTTTTGAGGTAGCACCATATTGTTTTCTATAGCGGCTGCACCAGTCTGCATTCCCACCAGCAGTGTATTAGAGTCCCCTTTTCTCCACACCCTCGCCAACACTTGTTTGATGATTTGTTGATGGCGGCCATTCTGACAGGTGTGAGGTGATACCTCATTGTTGTTTTAATTTGCATCTCTCTGATGATTAGTGATGTTGAGAATTTCTTCATATGTCTCTTGGCCATTTGTATGTCCTGTTTGGAGAGGTGTAGAATGTCTTAATTAACAAGATTCATTTGTGTAAATATTTTATGTTAATAGTCCCTCCTTCTCTCCTTCTCAAATTTTTTATATTATTATTTTAAAAGAAGTATAACAATCCAAGTGAAATGCTAAGCACAGTACCTGGAATGAAATTGAGCACTTTATAAATGTTATTCATTAGATTCTCAAACCTTTTTTTAGAGGCAGTATAGAACTAAGTAAATAAACCTTATGCAGTCTATTATAATTGAGATTGATGATTGATTTTACTTTGATAGCTAATTACAAATACCTTTTATAATTATTTATACTGAAGTGCCCTGTTGATACTAAGGTACATAGGAAGTGGACTATACTTTTTATTTATTTGTTTATTTTTATCCTTACCTGAGGACATTTTTCCATATTTTGTTCAGACTGAGTGGGAGGGGGAGAGAGAGAGAAACATCGACGTGAAAGGGACACATCGAGTGGTTGCCACACGCACTACCCAACCAGGGCCGGGGACAAACTGCAACTGAGGAATGTGCCCTTAGCGGAAAATGAACCTGAGTCTCTCCAGACTGCAGGCCGACACTCTAACCGCTGAGCCAAACCGGCCAGGGCAGAAGTGGACTATACTTAATTGTTGCATCACATTTTAAAATATAAGGTTAGTCTTATATTTTGCTGCTATCAACAGATGTACATCTCTGTATTCAGTGCTTGCTCCTAAATACACCTGTCCTGATAGGTATTTATTTATAACTGACCAAGAAAGACTGTCTTGAGCCCTGGCCAGTTTGACTCAGCAGTTGGAGCGTCGGCCTGTGGACCAGAGAGTCCTGGGTTTGGTTCCCACTAGGGGCACGTACTGAAAAAAAAATGTTTGCTTCATGAATAGCCTCTCTCTCTTTTTGTTGTTGTTAACCCTCACCTGAGCATATTTTTTTTATTGTTTTTTTTTTTTTTTTTTTATCCTCACCCGAGGACATTTTTCCATTTTTTGTTCAGGTAGAGTGGGAGGGAGAGAGAGGAACAGAGAGAGAGAGAGAAACATCAATGTGAAAGGAACACATCGAGTGGCTGCCACCCACACAACCAACCAGGGCCGGGGACAAACTGCAACCGAGGTATGCGCCCTTAGCAGGAACCGAACCCGGGTCTCTCTGGACCGCAGGCCGACGCTCTAACCGCTGAGCCAAACCGGCCAGGGCAATTTTTTTTTATTGATTTTTAGAGAGAGTGGGAGAGAGAGAAACATTGATGTGAGAGAGACACATTGATTGATTGCCTTTAGCAGACCCCAACTGGGGCTGGAATGAGACCTGCAACCCAGATTTGTGCCCTGGACCAGGAATCAAACCCAAGACCCTTCAGTCTGCTCTAACCACGGAGCAAACTGGCCAGGGTATTTTTTTTTTAACAATCCCCACCCAAGGATATGCCTTTTAAAAATGGATTTTAGAGAGAGAGGTAAGGAGAAGGGGGGGGGGGAGAGAGAGAGAGAGAGAGAGAGAGAGAAACATCTATTGGTTGCCTCCCATACTCGTTCTCACCAGGATCAAACCCAAAACCTGGGTATGTGCCCTGATAGGAAATCAAATCCTCAACCCTTCAGTGCACGGGACAGTGCTTCAGCCAACTGAGCCACATCAGCCAGGGCAGGAATAGCCTCTTATCAAAGAAGAGATATAGTTATGAGCAATTATAGGTGCAACCCTGATAATAATGCAATATAAATTAAGCCCTGGCCGGTTTGGCTGAGCTGTTGGAGCAGCGGCCTGTGGACCAGAGAATCCTGGGTTCGGTTCCTGCTAGGGGCACGTACCAAAAAAGAATAAATAAAATAAAGAGGTGGGTTTGTTTTTAAAAAAAGAAAAGATATTTTGTTTTCTTTTTTTATCAAATCAGTAAGGATTAAACACATGGTCTTTTGAAGGAGAGTCAAATGAAATGGGAATATAAACTGTCTCCCACTCAAGTAAAGTCCTTGGGCTGATTTCCAAACAAGCAGTCTCCAGATTGGAGGAGGGAGGACTCCCTTCCTCCTACGGGTAGTCACTAAGAGTTTTTCCATGGACCTTTTGAGAATGGCTCATTTTCTCTCATTAGAAGAAAAACTGCCAACTGAGTTGTGGGAAGGATTCCTAGACCCTTAGTTTACTAATTTTTATTTTTATAAAAGTACTGTGAGAATTTCTTAATATTTACATTAGAATTTTTCATGTTCATTAATCCATTAATCTCATTCTGGGAAATAAATCCTAAGGAAAAACCTTAAAGGGGAAACTTTATTTTGTAAGATGTTTATGGCCCAATTCTAAATGTGTGTAGAGGAATTCTGAAATAACCTATCTAGGTAGTGGGATGAAGAGAGAAAACCATGAGCTCTTTGAATCTGAATAAACCTGGGTTTGGGCCCGGTGTCTGCCACTTTACTAGTTAGCTGAATTACGTAAGTCTCTTTGAACCTCAGTTTTGTTTTTTTAATTTATTTTTTATTGTTGACAGTATTATAGATGCCCCTCATTTACCCCCCTTTGCTCCCCTGTACCCAGGCCCCACCCCACTCCAGGCCTTCACCACATTATTGTCTGTGTCCATGGGCTGTGCATATATGCACATAAATTCTTTGGTTAATTTCTTCTTGTGTCCCCCACACCCCTCCCCTCTAAGATCTGTCAGTCTGTTCCATGCATCCATGTCTCTGGACCTATTTTTTTTCGTCAGTTTATTTTGTTCATTAGATTCCACATGTAAGTGAGATCATGTGATATATATATGTTATTTATTTATTTATTAGTTTGTTTGTTTATTTATTTATTTTCTTGCCCTGGCTGGTTTGGCTCAGCATTTAGAGTGTTGGCCCATGGACCAATGAGTCCCAGGCTTTGATTGCAGCCAAGGGCACTTACCTAGGCTGCGGTTCTATCCTTGGCCCCAGTTGGAACGTCTGGGTGGCAACCAGTCAATGTGTTTCTCTCACATTGATGTTTCTCTCTCTCTCTCAACCCCTTCCCCTTCCACTCTGTCTGAAGATAAATATAAAAATATCCCCATGTGAGGATTAAAAAATATATATATATTTTTTTCTTTATTGATTTTTGTTTTTCTAGAGAGATGAAGGGAGAGGGAGAGAGAGATGGAAACATCAATGAGAGAGAACATCGATTGGCTGCCTCCTGCATGATCCCCACTGGGGATTGGACCCACAACCTGGGCATGTGACCTGACTGGGAATTGAACCTGCGAATTCTTGGTGCATGGATCCTTGCTCAACTACAGAGCCACACCTGCAGGGCAAAATCATGTGATATTTGTCTTCCTCTGACTGGCTTATTTCGATTAGCAAAATAATCTCCAGGTCCATCCATGATGTTGAAAAGGCTAAGAGATGAACCTTAGTTTTAGTTTTTTAAAAACATGCTTTGAGAATTAGAAAAAAATTTCAAGAGCTGTACATGTTATTCCCGGATATCTTTTGCCCATATTCCCAGAT